ACGAATTTTTTTTTTAATTAAAAAAAGTTAAAAAGTTAAAAATTGATAACAATTGAATAGATGGCGGTGCGTACAGATTAACATGACGTACGTGTGAATCCATGGTGTATACCCTTAACGGCGCAGTGGGCGAATCGCTAGAACAGGGGTTCGAATTCCACCTCGGGAAATACTTTGTTTCTTTATTTTTGGATTGTTTAGTTACTTTAGTATGTACTTCTGCCATTTCACCGTTAATTTCAAAATTTAAATTTTTTACTACATTTAAACGTTTAGTAAAAATCTAGAATAAACTATGATAGATGATAATAATAGCGCAAACTGATGGGAACACTTAACGGAAGCTTATGTAGGTTACAGATCAAATAATATTATATTTATTATATTTTACAGTTTGGGATGGGATGGAATGGCATGGGATGGCATGCGATGGCATGGGATGGGATGGGATGGGATGGGATGGGATGGGATAGGATGGGATGGAATGGCATGGGATGGCATGCGATGGCATGGGATGGGATGGGATGGGATGGGATGGGATGGGATGGCATGCGATGGCATGCGATGGCATGGGATGGGATGGGATGGGATGGGATGGGATGGGATGGCATGCGATGGCATGCGATGGAATGGGATGGGATGGCATGGGATGGCATGCGATGCGATATGGGATGGGATGCGATATGGAATGGGATGGGATGGCATGAAATGGGATGGATGGATGGATGCATGGATAGATGCATGGATAGATAGATAATTAGATTTTTTTGGCTATTTTCCTTTCAACCAAGCCGTCACCAACTGAGTAACGCCACTGATTTCCCCGGACAACGCCGGGTATCCCGCTAGTATATATACATGATAACGCATGCAGAAATATCTTCCCAACACACCCCTAGCCGACCCAGATCAGGGGGCGATGGGTACTTAGTGCACTCCCGTATTCACGTCATATCGATCTAGCATAAATGAGTTATGCCCTCTAATTACGTAAACCCGCTCTCTCGATTGCCGGCCGCTAAGTGACGAACGCGCTCAAACGAAAGCTCATTCGGGAAATGAACTGACGTACGTACGTATGCACGTCTGCGCGCGCATGCGCGTGAGCGTTGATCTCACGCGGATTTTTATCGTCGCGGTTGTTGATGTTACCAATAGTCCATAATAGAAAATTTTACATTTTCTAGAAAAATTTCCTATTAAATTTCATATCGATAAAATCTTCTATTATGGACTATATTACCCGTCCGATGATGTACGCGTGTGCATTCTGACCTTCAGCGCATGCATCTACGACGAAAACGAGCTGTTCGCACGTATATGCGTAAAAATATTCGCGATTTTTCTCTCTCTCTACGAGAGAAGCATGCACCGCCGCGGTGCGTTGTTTCATATATCTCACTATATAGACGGGGATTTTGATTAAGCCGTTACCAGCCACTTGTTATAGATGCATTTGCGTTTATAGCCTGACGTAATAAAAGGTTTTTGGCGCGCAGAAATTACCTCGGCCAGCTCGCACGTAATATTTTAGATGAAGCTAAAAAGCCTCACGATATACATTGGAAAGCTTGTAATTATCTCAACGCGCTTATAGGTGTTCGTTCATACGCGCGGGCTGTAGCGCAACAGTAAAACGAAAATGCCGTTAGTGAAAATCGAACGCGGTTGCCGCGCCTGCCATTGTGAATCACGTGTGGTCACGGGCGATATAGGCACTCGACTACGTGTCGAAACTAGAAAACACATAGCCAGGAAATGAGCAAGGATTAGAAGAACGCGATTTCAGATCCGATTATTTTGGAGTGTTAGCTGTGACTGAAGTCCAGTGTCGTATATACACGAACATGAATCGGGCAAAATCCGTACATGCAGCTTAATTCCTCGTAGAACGCGATTCCTACATGCATCCACACCTCCCGCGATTCTTGGACTTCCCTCTTTGCATATTCACCATGCCGGCTTAATTGCGTCCTTCCGCACTTCATTAAGCTTCACTTCGCGCTTCTCTCACCTCCATATATCACTCTCCCATCGCTCTCGTTCCACTATCTCATCTTTACTACGTGCTCAAGAGCTTCCCCACTATGCTATCGTACAGTCTCTTGTCATAAGCGCATTTCCACTATGTGCAATTTCTAAATCGTTTGTATATTACGCTTATCGATTACGGAAAAGACGAAATACAGGAAGACACACATATCTGTACAATATAAGACAGATTGGCCACCTAATTCTCCGCCTGTTCTGCTAGCATTTATGACAAATACGACATACGCATATACGCTCTGCTATGAAACTATTTGTCATATAGGAAGATTCTTCCTATGACAAATATTGTTGTATGCGTTGTGCGCATCATAGGAGTTCAGGAGCGCTATTATGAACGCAAGCAGTGAATTTCAACTGTAAAGCGGAACGAAGTTGACTCGCCAATATTTGTCATAGGAGAGCGTATATGCGTATGTCGTATTTGTCATAGATGCAAGCAGAACATGTTGTAATTCTAAGCCATATCAGTTATTACTAAGACGCACAGCATCATGCAGGTATAGCGCCAGCAGGGATCACTGAACACCATGTATACATACAGGCATTGGCGAATTGAGGTGCAGTATTGCACTACAGCTGACCTCACTCAAAATAGTTCCTTCCAAGTGGCTGTAACGTGTGGACGGATGCCGGATTGGCGAGTGCATGTATCCACAAACTACATATATACACGTGTAGCAGTACATCGTGGCCTTGTCGGTGTCTTAACCCGCCGAAATGTAAAACGCAGCATTTTGCGTTTATAATTCAAGTCATTGTGCGTCGAGTGTGTCAAAGAGACCGACCCCTCATAGGATGATGCGCGCGCTCTCTCCCCCGCTCTCTCTCTCTCTCTCTCTCACACTCTCTCTCTCTCTCTCTCTCTCTTTCTTTCTTTCTCGCGCTCTCTCTCTCTCTCTCTCTCTATATATATATATACGCGCATAAAGCATTTTGCCATTACGTGACGAGCTAAAAAAGCGCAGTGGGGGAGAATAAAAGCCGTCAACAATACGGACTTTTTAAGGTCGATGAGACATCTGGACATGATAGCTATAGTTTGATATAATATACAGACATCACGATACAGAGCGTGACTGCTCACGTTCTAGGAAGCCACGGTGAGCCAGAGGCTTTGTTGTCGTGACATTATTGTCACAGAATAAATAAAGATTGCGCCACTCCGCTCACATATTCTAGATGTACGAGAGATTTTTCGAGAGTAACGAAAATAGATACTAAATAAATATACACTAATATAAGCATGTTAGTAAAGCAAATACAATCCACTCACGGCAAGTTGAGTGTTTATCATTCTATGGTAAATGGCCTATACCTTTCGAACAAGATACAAATATGTAATGATCATTCCAGCTTAACTGCATGGAACTAAGTTAATTGCCTTTACCAATTTTGAAGTTGTTTCAGTGATTACCTAATTTGAGAAAATAAACACACAGAAATGGGTAGTTTAGATAGCACCACAATCTCATGGGTCTTGGCCCTAATTCCGGTTGATTGCCCTCGGACAAACGTAATTAGAGAGATGTTATTTGATTACTCGAAGAGTATATCAGACTATTGTAAATTCTCCAGTGTATTAGATTTGTCGCACGGCTAACTTTCCTACCTAAAAACACATTGCAGAGAATTTACAGGTACATTTAGAACTGAAATAACAAGTATATGATTTTACATGTTAAGTTCAAACTATAACTAAAACGCCACAGCCATACTAAAGAATTCAGTTCATTTCTTGCAATGTTTCTTCCATTGGTGCGCTCACCATTCATTCAGAATAAATTACACAGTAGTTTTGCTGAGCACGATTTCCTCCAGTTTAATAGTAGTTCGGGTCTTCGGGATGAGTATAGTCAAGAGTAGATAATAACACAATCACGATAATATAACAATGTGTTATTATCTACTGTTGGTATAGTATATGTCTTTCACAACAACATGGCCGTGTGCGTTATGTAAAAATAAACAATAACTAAGCCCAGCTGGTATTATTACGACAAGGAATGCGAATGGCTTAATTCTAATTTCTCTCCCAGTAAACAGTGAATAGTGCGAATCGGCGCGCAACATAACCCCCCCCCCCAGTGCAACGAGAGGTAACACGTGAAACTAAACCAGCCTCACTTTTTCATATTAACAAAAATACCCCCAGCAACTCGCTGCCTCGCACTTTTTTGCACACGCGATGACTCAGCACTTTCGACACACTGACGCATGCATGACGGCACCGCGTACACACTGCACGCGGCAATACAGGCGAACACAGGCAGCGACGCACGACCCGCGCGCGCCTGTTACACATTCTTACCTGGATACAATAAGGTAACCCAAAAAGACAAGTGATGTAACCCAACCTACTCTTGTTGGGTTACATTATTGTATTTCCATTTTTACTCAGCCTCCGACCCACGACCCCAGCCTACGACCCCGGCGCGAGCGCCTGTTCTTCATTCTTACTTAGATACAATAACGTAACCCAACCTACACTTGTTGGGTTACATTATTGAATTCATTCCTTACGATCAGACTGGTCGCCAACGACCCCAGCTTACGACCCAGGCGCGAGCGCCTGTTCTTCATTCTTACTTAGATACAATAACGTAACCCAACCAGAGTAGTAACCCAACCCTACTCTTGTTGGGTTACATTACTACTTATGTTGTGTTACATTACTACTCTTGTTGAGTTACATTACTACTCTTGTTGGGTTACATTACTACTCTTGTTGAGTTACATTACTACTCTTGTTGGGTTACATTACTACTCTTGTTGGGTTACATTACTACTCTTGTTGGGTTACATTACTACTCTTGTTGGGTTACATTACTATTGTTGGGTTACATTACTACTCTTGTTGGGTTCCATTACTACTCTTGTTGGGTTACATTACTATTGTTGGGTTACATTACTACTCTTGTTGGGTTACATTACTGTATCTCAATTCTTACCCAGCCTCCCTGGGCGATGATCCACGGACACACGTACGTCGATACGTACTCGGTGAACGCCTCCATGAGCGAGCCGATGTAGGTCTCTCGCTGCTGCCGCACGCAGTCCATCGCCAGCGCGCCCGTAAGTGCGAACAGCGCCATCACCTTGCCCCACGTCAGTTCGTTCCCGAGCAGCAGACACCCGGCGAGGTGAGCGTACACGTCCTGCAGCGCGGCGACCGTGTTCAGCTTGACGCCTAGACGCGAGCAGACGTTCACGTACGCGTCGGGATGTCCCGTCTCGATGTCGCGCGCGCAGGCCGTCACCAGCGGGCCGACGTCCGGCGGACCGCTGTAGTCGAGCGCCGCCTGGGCCGCCTTCCTCGCCGTCGGCACGTTCGAGCGTTTGATTCGTTGCTTGATGTAGTCGCAGCAGAGGCCGAGCGAGTCGCCGAGGACGTCCTTGTGCGCTGGCGTCGGCTCTGCCTCTTGCGTCGGCGCCCACGACGGCAGGCTGAACGTCAGCTGTCGCGTTAGCGTCTGCAGTCGGCTGCTGCGTCGGCGTATCGACGGCCGCGACGTCGTCCGCCGCAGCGACGTCGTCCGCCGCAGCGACGACGGCTCGCCGTCTTCACGTATCGTTAGTTGTCTGGCGAGCGATGACGGCGCGCCGTCTTCACGTATCGTTAGTTGTCTGGCGAGCGACGCCATGTTTAATATTAATTGCGAGGCGGCACGCGGGCGGCGTGCCGGGAGGCCGCTATAGCGAGCATGCGAGGACGCCCGTGTGTAGTGAAGCCAGCATGTATGAAGCCGCCAGCTTCATGCGACGCTACCTGCCTCGCTGCGTGAGTGATGCCTGATTGCTGTTACTTTCTCTTTATACACACGCGCACGAACTCCTCTGTGTGCGGCTGTCTCGAGGCCGGATGCTGCAGCAGCTGCAACCGTAAATCGTTGCGACCGGATTGCGCGTTTTCCCGTACACATGGGTTCCTGCTGCTCTGACACCTGAATGATGTAGCCATACACGGTTAGCCGTTGAATTGATTGCTCTCTCTCTCTCTTTCTCTATCTATCCCACGCGCGCGCGCGCGCGCTCTCTCTCTCTCTCTCTCTCTCTCTCTCTCTCTCTCTCTCTCTCTCTCTCTCTCTCTCTCTCTCTCTCTCTCTCTCTCTCTCTCTCTCTCTCTTTATCCCTTAGTCTGTTTCTCTCTTTCTTTCGTTATCCTTCTCTCTCCTTCTCTCTCTCTCTATATGTATATCTATCTATCTATCTATCTCTCTCTCTCTATATATATATATATATATCTAACACACACACGCGCGCGCACGCACGCACACACACCGCGACACCTGTATAGTCACCACATGTCATGAGCGGCCTAATCTCACTGCGGTCGCTGAAGGTTGATGCCTGTCTCCGCACACAGCGGCGCTTGTTACGCACTGACACCTGATTCAGGCAGCCCGACTATTACACACATATAACGTACATACATACATACACAGAAAACACACACACACACACACACGCTGTATAAGCGCCGAGGTCTTGCTGCCTGCTGGCTTTACGCGCGCATCACAGCGTCATCCGCAGCGGCTATAGTGCGTCAAGCCGACGGGCGTCCGGTGCACAGCGCGGCAGCTTCCCTCCAAGCGTGAGTTCACGTCTATAGCAGATACGCGCTTACGCAGTATAGCTCATCTATAATGTAGGGCCGGCACAGACAAACACCCGAGCGCGCTCACAAGATAAACTCGTCAGAGTTGATTTCTAACGACACGGCGCCAGGGGATGCGGAGTTCTTTAACTATTTACGCTACTCGCTGGGCGGGCGAATCCTAGCTTCTTTGCAAGCAGCTTATCCGCTAACACTAGCAGCGGTGTCAAGTGGGAAGCGAATTCCAGGCAGATATGCTCGATGTTCGGCCATCCGCCGGGATGGATGCCAGCTTCAGGCGGATATGTAGCACTATAATTCGGCTCGGTGTTATGTCAGGAACCTAATCATAAACGCTCTTCTTCGCTGAACTTTTTACCTACTGAATCCGTAGCGAGTTACGTCGAAGCCTTGACAACATAAGCTGCCGCTCCTTGCTGCTGATGCTGCCTCTGCTGCCGCTACTGCTGCTGCCGCCGCATCCGCCGTCGCTGCTGCTGCTGCTGCTGCTGCTGCTGCTGCTGCCTCTGCGAAGGTTTCCCGTTCATCACTGGCAAGCAGCCTCGGCTAGCACATATACACATAGGCATACCTATCTATATATGTATGCGGCTGCAGATACGCTAGCGAGTATGCGCGTGCGCGCACATGTATGCGGGCTTACGTGTCTACATGTTTGGCTGTCTGTCTGACTGTCTGACTGTCTGACTGTCTGTCTGTCTGTCTGTCTGTCTGTCTGTCTGTCTGTCTGTCTGTCTGTCTGTCTGTCGGTCTGTCTGTCTGTCTGTCTGCTGTCTGCCTGTTTGTCTTGTTTATGCTGTCTGGTCTGTCTGAGATCTTGTCTGTCTGTGGCTGTCTGTCTGTCTGTCCTGTCTGTGCTGTCTGGTCTGTCTGATCTGTCCTGTCTGTTGTTGCTGTCTGTTTGTCTGTTTAGTCTGTCTGTCTGTCTGTCTGTCTGTCTGTCTGTCTGTCTGTCGGCCTGCTTGCCTGTCCGTCTGTCCGCCCGTCCGTCCAAAATGTATTTCTAAAGAAATGTGTAGACCTGCACCGTAAATTTTTTAGGGTCTTTCTTCGTAAGAGCCTTTCTAAGCTAGCATGGCCGTTACGTGTAGATTAAGCTCCTGGAACCAGAGACCACATATCTTTGCAAAAGGGAAGCCATCGCAACTGGCAGCGATTGCTTCAGCTACTTGGCAATTACGCGAACACGGAGAGTTAACACGGCATCCACGTTTCTGCGCGTGTTCGCGGTTGTTACGAGCAACGACAGCAGCAGCAGCAGCAGGAGAGCGTGTTGATCAGACGTGCCCTATATAGTTAACGCGCTGCAGCCTGCATGCGTCAAATCGACACGCGTTCTGCCGATTGCTAGAAAAACACTGATTGTGCTGTTTGCTCGATTTTAGGCCATCATCGCCGTCTTTTACGACATTGCTTTACTGTCTGAGTGAGTGTGGTAAACTGGTTTATATCTCACAAGCTAGGGACTCCTTGCTGTTTATTGCTATTGCAATTTGCATTTATTGCGAACATACCGATTGTTATTGCAGCAAATATATCATTGAACTAATAATTCGTTATAAAGCTGCGTTTATATAGGTTTTTGTTCGGATATACCGTTTAGGCGCGCGTACACATACACATGCACGCACGCACGCACGGCACACCGCTCACGGCAACATGCACACGCACACAACAAACACACACACACACCACACACCACACACATGCCACAAACACACACACACACAGCACGGCACCCACACACACACACACAAACACACACACACACACACAACACACACACAACACACCACACGCACGGCACACACACACACGACATACACACACACGCACACACACACCACACACACACACAAACAGGGACCACACACACACACAAGCACAGGCACACACACGTAGTGCGCGCACAACACCCGACAACTAGAATATATATATAGCTACACTGCCTAGAGGGCCAGCCTCACACATGATAAACAACATGTTCACGTTTATTCTCTGCAGTCATTACAGAGCGCCATGCAGAGAAGTTAAATGCAGAATCACAGCAGCCCGTGGGCAGATAGTTTTTATCGATAAACGATTTACGATATCGTATAACGATTTTACATATCGTATAAAAATTTACATTGCATATTTAATTACAAAATCCACGTGGTACAATTTTAAACTCTACGCAGGTGTATATATATATTTTTTGGCTCAATTTCGTAGGTATACCAATGAGATTCAACGTCAATTGTAAATGTTATTTGCAAAGACGACCACAGTGAGCTAGAATATAGTGCTGTGAAGCAACCCATCTATTGTACAATTATTCATGATTGAGTTTATAGCTGCGAGGTGACTTCCTATACTGAATCTAAAACCCGCAATGCGCACGTTAGTCTCCCGTCGTGGAGGTCGCTAATTGACAGTGATGGAAACTTTCTCATTATCATGGTAATATTGGCGCAGGATATTTGAAATTCCTGCTCAAATTCGTCTAGAGCGAATATCGCGTTGCGACTAGGTAATTAAAAGCATCCACTGAACAGAGTATAACCAGTAATGAAGCAATTTTAGGCATTTAACGTTATTCGTAACGGCATGCGCGCCAGCCCATCATGATTGCTGTAATTGAAGAAACACACTTTGATAAGAAAAATCTTGTTAATGCGATAGATGCTGCAATTATTCTTGCTTAAAGTGGAGCAGCTCTCAGCGAACGAGAGCGATATCAAAATGCATGCTGGTACATTTAAAGTGGCTGACGTTGCCGGAACTTTGCTATCAAATTTTTGTCATTAGCGACTAGCTATAGGATATTGTTAGCACTAGACTGCCACTTACTTGAAATTCACTCCAAAATTTCCCACCATCAACGTCAACAAGTAAGAGTAGCAAAGGCACTTCGGTACGAGTGCATTAACATTTTGCAAAGCACGTTCAATCCGATGCGTGTTGGTACATCACTCGGTAGGCACTAGCAATTAATTCAGGCAGCGTAAATCAAAGTACGTTGCATCGGTTTACGTTCAGAGTAAAATTACGACAAACCGCAAAACACTGAAAAATCGTGTTCAATATTTATGAAACGAATGCAGCGCGTAATCGCACTTATTGCTACACGCGCAGTCTATAAATAAAATAGTAATATGTATACTAATAGTTTAGTATCGGATTAATTCGAACCACGGCGGTTTGCACGAGGATTGGCTTTTGTATTGCTAATGGAACAATCTTCCGAGGAAACAGTACTCTCGTCTAAATGCCACTTCTCCGCAAGCGAACCCTTTGTGGTGGTTCTATGCCATTATCACATTATATATTAAATTAGTCTGCTGTATGGAGCAGGTGCAAAAAACGCATCCCGTCGCAGAAATGTAGAAAGTGACACGCCAGAGCGCGTGTCGAAAGGACGACGGAGTAAGCCGTCCTACAGATATATAGATATAATATATACAGTCAGCCTCTCGTACCGAGAAGTCTGAATATAAAATGAGTACGGCCGTTATGTGGAATATGGGTAGGTAACGCAAAAAGGACAAAAACACAAATTCCATGCCATGCCATACCATACCATACCATACCATACCAAATATGTGTGTGTGTGTGTGTGTGTGTGTGTGTGTGTGTGTGTGTGTGTGTGTGTGTGTGCGTGCGTGCGTGTGTGTGCACGTGCATGTGTGTGACGAAAAAATGCGTGTTCTATGTATAATAAACAAATTTAGCTAACTATTTATATTTTACTGCAGCTAATTGCATAGTTGCGATGTGCTACAATTTGCTAGAATGATGCCAAATATGGAAACACGCACAGAGGTAGACCACACCTCACATACATAATGCCTGAGCAACCAGGTC